GTTTTATTGATCTATTCCATGATGATACACAGTCATATTTTATCTGTGCTCAGAGTCTGTTCTCTTCTCTTCTCTAGATCCCCATCCAGAGTCCCAGGTGCTCGAGGGGAAGGGAGGGGGCTCGGTCTGGCCAGGGGGATCGGAGCGTCGAGGGGGGCTGTTTGTTGGGCAGCACCCCCGTCCCCGAGCCTTTTCCCAGAGTGCCGTGCACACCCTGGAGCAGAGGGAGAGAGAGAGAGACCTGGAGAAGGTAGGAGGTTGTTAATCTGTAGCTCAAAGGCAGCAAAAAGACTCAAGAGAGATTTAAGAATATGTGGTCATGTTTCAGATCTGTAGCTAGTTTAACCTTCAAGCTTGAGAAAGTTAAAATAATGTGCTTTCTTTCAAGGCAAGACTAATATTCAGGCACTTCTTACAAATTTGTGGCATCTAAGAGAACAAAGAAAAAAAGTAGAATACAAATGCAGAAAATAAAAGCAGACTGAAGTAATTCTTGAAATGGCCAATGCTATGTATGCGCCTATGCACCAACGTGTGTGTGTGTGTGTGTGTGTGTATTCGCACACAGCAGACGTGTCCTTCCCACTGCAGAGCATTTTAGTTGAACTCTACAACTGAAAGCACGCTGTTGAGAAACAGTTCAAATGGACTCTCTTTGTTCTTTGCGTGAGGGCTTGAGTTGTTGCTGCTGAAAACCCACTGAAAGCTCTGGGGGAGCTCAGCCTCCAACTTCAAAGGTTTCACTTTCTACTTTTTTAGTGCCTTTGAAGGTATGAGACTGTGGTGTTTGCTGCTTCGCTACTAATCACAGAGGGATAGGCCTGCATGTTAGCTCTTTTGTTTTGAAGGCATTCATTTGATGCTGGTGGCAAAGCCACATATGTATGCATGCTTTGATAGTAGCAATGTTACTTCTGTCTGAAGTGTTGTTAAGTATTTATGGTTTTTCGTTTTCGTTTTTAGTTTATAATCAGCGTCTGCAACAACTTCCCAGACGTTTCTTTAAAAAACTGTCCTATGCTTGTTGTCTTTATTTTTTCTCCACTGCCTCAGGAGGACGGTGCGAGTTTATTTCGCCACCGGCCCCTACCTCAGTCCCTCTACCAGGGCGGAGCCAGCGAGGACGTGACCAGCGATGAAGAGCGCATGGTCATCTGTGAGGAAGAAGGGGACGATGATGTCATGGGTGAGTTAGATGATCAGCTGACTGGTCTAGTGGTGGTTTGCGAGGTTGCTGCCTAACCACAAAGTCACAGTTTCAGTTCCCACAATGATCCGTGTGTCTTCAAAAAAAAGACACTGAACTTCAGCCTTCGTAGTCAGAATGACAATGTCAGCAAAACACCTCAAAGCTAAAAAAAACAGCTGAGTCATGTGGCCCAAGCCCCAGGCCTGGACTGTTAATAGCTTGTGTTAAAATATAGCCATAACAATAGCACACAATTGGCTATTTGATGGCAATACTGGTGTTGAAAGTATATTGTGTGTTTAGTCCCTTTTGTTTAAATGTGTTAAAACACTAACCTCTGATAATCCATGTCTGCCCTCAGAGGATTCCTGTCCTGAAGGCTCCATTGACCTCAAGTGTAAAGAGAGAGTGACAGACAGTGATGAGGACGAACCAGACGGACAGGTAGCTTATCATAACCTGCATTACTATCCACAGTGGACACTTCAAGCTACATTTTACTGGGCGACCCCTGTGTCTCTCCCTTCCCCCATTTTGTGCTGGATATGTTCAAACTTAAGGAAATGTTCAAATTCATTGATTTATTTTTTATGTAGTGCTTGTTTCTGATGCTTATATAGTCTCTGCATCAAGGGATTTAGTCTATTTAGTAAAAAAAAATGCACTGCAAAAACATATTTATTAAAAATGTATTAGGTAATGATGTAGCTCGATTTACAGATTTACAGCTTAATTCTACATGTAAAGTATCATATTGTTGGAGGTTTAATTTAAGCTTTTTAGTTTCTGAAGTCCTTTATTTCCATTGAGCATCAGAAACCCACAGAGTTACTGTAAGAAACTGTGTGTTCATGACGAAGAGAAGAACTTTACATTGTAACTTTCCCGGCTTTGATCTCTCCCTCTCTCCATCTCTCCGTCTCTCTCTTCCCTCCAGCATGGCTTCCAGCCAGTGGCTCACTCCTCTCTCTCCTCTTCCTCTCCCTCCATCCCTCACTCTGACTCCACCTCAGCGAAAGGGAACGGAGGAGGAGGAGGTGGTGAAGAGGGCTCTGAGAGAAAGAGAAAGAGAGCTACAGACGGAGGAGAGGAGGGGAGCGAGGGAGTATCCAAGAGAGAAGAAACAGCAGCAGGTGGAGGAGAGGGAGGTGGAGGTGGTGGGCAGGGTGTCTCCTCTCTGTCCATCGCAGGCTTCACGTCCAGCACCGAGGCTCCCCTCGCTTTGGCCCAGCAGGGTTTGACCCAGGTCCTCGGCGCCGTCCACATGGCTCCTTCTATGGTGACCAATGCAGTGCGACCCATCGCCAGCACGCCCATCCCCATCGCCAGCAAGCCATTGGAAGGAGCCGTCACCCTCAGCTCCCTGCCCCAAGACAAGAAAGCCACTCTCCTGATTGGAGGAGGCGGACCTCAGCAGCTGCCAATCACTGCAGGGGGTGGGTACCTGTCCTCATCCTCCTCTCCTGGTCCAGTCAGTGTAACCCCTTTGGGGGGCAGCAGCCTGGTCACTAACCTGCTTCTAGGAGGGTCCTTTCCCGCTGCCAAACCAGTTCAGCTCCTCGCCCCGCAGCCCACGCAACAGCACGCACAAACTCCCCTACCTGTCCTCCAGCCCCAGCTCCACCCCACTGCCGCCACCTCCTCTCTCACACCTCCCACCGGCCCCAAGCCGCTAGCTCAGGTCCAGTACATCCTGCCTACCGAGACCCCCTCCTCCCCTCAACTCACCCACCAGCAAATTCTCTCCCTGCCCACCAATGCCACCCTGGCCAATGGCATGCACTCAGGGGCGGGAATCAGAGTTGCACCAGTCAGCCCCGGGACCAGAGGTGAGACAGAGAGCAACAATTGGCTGACAAAAAAAAAGGGTTTCACTGGTCCACTGAAAGCTGAAAAAAATGTCTTCCTTTCATTTTTATTTTTGCTGTAGTTTCCTCCCCTTATTCCTAATGAATCATCTCCTCAGGAAGCGCTGAAAAAAAGATTTGATTGGCTGACGTAAACAGGAGATCAATGATTGACAGGAGAAACACTGTTGACATGAGTATGAGTGCCCGTCGCCCACCCATGCCTTAATTACTCTCTATTCATAAGAGTCTTGAAGCACCAGAACATTATTCCACCTTGTTATCAGCAAGGAATTTCACTATTATCAGTGGCTGAAATGTCCTCTCTGTCTCAGTGTGTCTCCACCCCCCCGCTGCTCCTGTTCTGTCTTTACCTCCCCTCTTTTGGCTCGATTCATCTGTTTCTCACGCTGAGTGTTTTAATTCTCTCTCTCTTTTTCTCTCTCTCTCGTTCTCACTCATTAGTCCAAACCCAGTCGCCTGTCATGCAGAGCAAAATGTTGGTTCCCATGGCAACAGTGAGAACAGGGTCTACTCCTCCTCATCCTTCCATTTCCCTGGTCGCTCCGCCTCTTCCTGTGCAGAACGGCCCCGCGTCAGGAAACAAGGTGAGAATGTCAGCACTTTAACTAACAGTGTCAACAGCATTAAAGATAAATAGGCGCCACCCTGTTTGCTGACAGGTGACAAGGTGGTTAAATCCTCAGCAGCAACACGACTACAGAGACGACACATATTCCTGATAGGAACAAAGTAGATTACAGACGGACGGTGTGGTGAAAAGAGCCTCCATTGGAAATCTGCTTGTTTTACCGCTCTGCAATTTTTATCCACTTTTGATTCATCTGACTTGGACAGAACATAAATTGATAATTGAGTAATCATTTAAGTCATCTATTAAATACTATATATTTGCTGGTTCCAGCTTTTGAAATGCTGCTCCTTTCTGTTTTATATTATTGTAAATTAAATATTTTTTGGGTTATGGTTTGTCAAAACAAGCAAGTAAAACTTATCAAGGTATTTATCACTATTTTTCATTGTTATTTATTAATTATTTAATCAAAACAATCAAATGAGGAAGTAAATGAAAATCACTGCTAGTTGCACTCCTACGGATGTTATTTGAAGGCACCGGTTGCTTTAAAGTGCTAGAATTGTTCTGAGGACTGTAAAAGTGCATTTGATATTTATACAAGTTTTCCTGACCCCCCCCTTCAAAAGATCATCCAGATCGCTCCCATGCCTGTGGTCCAGACCAACGTTCACCCTGGCGGCGCAGCAGCAGTGCATCCTGGGAGCCCCTTTCCTGTTTCCATGGCAACGGTGATGGCTCCCGGTGCCGCGCCCCCACAGACTGTTCTTCTGACCTCTCCACCCACCAGGTCACTAACGCAGGCCTAGCACCTGCAAGACAGCAACATATACCCTCTTTTATTTTCCGCAGTTACTGCTTCAGCTGGTCAGAGATCCTTCTGAGCTGTAAAGATGTTGTGGGATTTCGATTTTCAGCCAGGTCATAATGTTAATTGTACTTAATGTGCAGTAAATGGAGATAAAGGAAGTTAACACTTCGAACACATTTTGACACTCCATCATCCTTTGGAGCGATGTGAACTATGATATAACCTGTGTAAACTTTTCTCCAGGTTTCCTAGTTTAGACAAGAAAAAAAATATAGTTCTTTTTGCAACATTGAAAGTGAAAACTTGGTGGTTTTCTTTGAAGCTGAAATGACGAGTTGAATCATGTATTTGACAGAAAAAGAATCCACATTTCCTTTAAGTCATTTTTAAGCAAATATATTACAAATTTACTGGTTTCATCTTGTCAAATGTGAAAATGTTCTATATTGGTTTAGTTTTCTGATCTTTTTTCTTTGTATTGTATCTGTGTTGTTTCTTAATGAGTCACAGAGGTTACTAAGCTGCTCAGGTGATTTCTTATATTCAGCTTTGAGTCTTTTCTCTCCTTTAGGATCACCTATGTCCAGTCTGGCCCAGGAGTTACCGCGGCAACACCCCAACAGGCCACACCCACTCCAGGCCCGGCCTATCTCCCATCATCTTTGGCAACCCTGGGCTTCACCGCCATCGCCCCGGCAGGGCAAACCCTGGTTCAGCCGATCCTTGGTCAACCACCACTGTTAGCTCCAGCCCCGCCCCTGAGCTGTCAATCACAGACCCCTCCAGGTCAGGCCTCAGGAACCGCTGGTCGTCAGGTAAAGAGGAGCAGAGAACTGTACAGTGTTAGTACCAAAGATTTTTAAAGCGCAGTATAAATGTGTGGTCATGAAGAAAATTAGAAAACTGAAATGTCAAAAGGAGTTAATAACGTTTAAGGACTGAAAAATTAAAAGCAGTCTACCTTTTTATCAGTTATTATTTTCCGAGTTTGCTTCAAAAGATCATTTGTAGATGTGAAGGTAACCGAAGGCAGTGCTGAGCATTAGCATATCAGTCATTTTTTGAGATTTTCAGTTTTATATTAGTTTTTCTATACAAAACACTGCACATACAAAAACTGCAAATTTCATTTCCTAATTCCACAAAATGTTTCACAAATGGGGTATGAAATAATCAAACCTAATCAAAAGCCTCTTGCAATTAAGAAAGCACATCCATTTGGTTGGAAAAGGCAGGAGCATGTGCAGCTTCCAGAGGCATCGGGACTAAAGGTGCTAGATGTAGCATTCTGTAATAAATTATCACTATATTAGTTTGGAGACATTAGCGAAATTACTGTAAAGAAGCAAGAAAATATTGGCTCTGACTTTTGGCCTTTATACTACATTTTACTTTTTGTGGCACCAGTTTTAAAAACTGCTGGGTTGATTTACAGCACAGTCATTTATTTTTCCTTCAGAGTAGTAAATCAATTTAATTCCACTTCCCTTTTTCTCACATTGCAATTTCTGCTTCAGCTTTACCTTGTCTTGACACGTAATTATATCATTAGCACCTCTTATCCGTCTCGTTCAATTCAGTTAAATTTTTCAAATGTATTTAGTAACCTCAGGTCACTTTTCATATAGAGCAGTTCTAGACCACACTTCTTAAAAAATGATTTACCCAACTAACATGTTCAAACATGGAAACCAGGAAAGCCTCGTCTGCTTTTCTATCAAAAATAACACAAAATCTCTTAACGGACACGCTTGCTCTGCTGTCTTCTTCACCAGGTACTAACTGCCATCTACCCTGCACCAACCGTTGCACTGCCTACTGGCGTGGTCTCTGTGACCACCGTGCCGCCCGCAGTGGCCGCCCCAGCCCAGGACATTATAAACCCTTCCTCTCCGTTGGCAACGGGGGTGCCGGGTTCAGCGGTGGCGACCCCACAGCCTAACGTAGCAGTGGAGGTGGAGCCGAAGGTGGAGGTGAAGAGGGAGAGCCAGCTGGATGGTCAGGCTGAGGATGGAGGATACGGGGTGCAGAGCTGTGCTGCCAGCTTCTCATTGGCCACCTGTATGATTAATGACACAGCAGGTAATGCTCCACTGGTTTGGTTTTAAATGTCAGTGTTGGTTTCTTGCTTGAAATCCATCCCTTTTTGCACTAACATCTAAAGAAAATATTTATATCAACATAATATACATCTGATTAAGATGTATTAAGAAAGTGGCACAATTTTCTAAATTGTCCACCATGGGAATAACTTTCTCTTTAAGCCAATAAAATGGGTTTGTTGCAAATTGTTGCAGAACCAGTCTGAGTGTTTTCCAGATTAAAATCTTGTAGTGAAACTAAGCTTGCAGGGTTAAGACTGATCCTGTAACTGTGGAAAGTTGCAGTGTGCACCTTGTAAACAAGTGAAATAGATAAGATAGATCAGTATTTTTATATCAGTTTGAAAATATCTTTGTCTGTTCCAGTAAAAAAAGAGGAGGACATCGGTCTGCACATCAAAGAAGAAAATCTAAGAGATGGGCACAGCAGAGAGTCACGAAGCGAGATGGACAAAGAGCGAGAGAGGGGGATGAAGGAGAACAGTGAAAAGAAGGGAGGCAGAGACACAGACAGAGAGGACCACAGCATGGGCGACAGCAGCAAAGAGGTGAGAAAAGCTGCATATCTGCTCTGTTCGTTCAGTCGTTTCTCATCAAACCACACATTTCCTGAAGCTTTGGTTAAAGATCGTTAGAGACATCTTCAAACAATTTTTACGTCAGATTTTTTGATCTCTTCTTCTCTAACAACTTCTCTAAGGAAGCCAGGAAACATCTGTGAATTTTACAAATCACTTTCATTTTGTTCTTGTACACTTAAATTATTACAGCCACACCACACTGTTTAGTCTTTTGGAACTTAATATTACAGAGACGTGCAAACAAACCGTTATCAGTATCCTGAAGAACAAATACATCTTGAAGGAAAAATAGAGGAATAACCAGGACAAAAAAACTCCTCCTTTCCATTTCATTTCAACAAGTTATGTGATAGACTCTGACTTTGATTGCAGAAGGTCATGGGAAAGTAGAGGAATCGTACAGCAGGGCTGCAGTGGGACCCCTTTCTCACCAGTCTTTCTCTCGCTCTTTTCCCAGGCTGGACCTCGTTCCCCTCCTGCACCACCCTCAGGTTTGGACCCCCCTCCCCCTCCCCCTGCAGAAAGAGACCCCCCCACTTCCTCAAAGAAGACCAAGTTCCGACCCCCACCGCTCAAGAAGGCACCCGACTCTCTCGAAAAGTAAGTGGGACAATGTCAGCACGAGAAGGGCACGAATCATTAGCTGAGGGAACTTCATTTTTGTTCTTTTTTTTACATAATCCAACTTATGTGAGTGGGTTTGGTGTTTAAAGAAACCTCAGTAAGTGCCTGTAAATGGGTAATTGAAAGTGAATGTAAAGTAAAAAGCACAGTCTCGTCTTTGACTGAGACAAGCTTTTATTCCATTCTCAGTGATCAGACTTTAGTTATGGCTTCTTCAGAATCAGTGCCAAAGCAAAATTTAAAAAGTCTGCCCGGTCCTTCTGGCTTTCTGGTCTTTGTAAAACAATGTTCTCTCTATTTTAACAGTTTACATTTTCTCAAGCTGAGAGAGCTCGTATAACAGTAGCTGATCTTCTGTAATTATGGTGCAAAGCAGCTTGAAGATGAGCTACAGCACCCTGGAGAGGACTCCATTTGTTGACTTTATTTAACACTGACTTTCACACATAGTGGCATCTATCATCCATTTTTAGTTTATGACCAAACCTCTAACTTCATAAAATTATGGTGGAAACTCTCTGTTTACTGAATGTGAGTGGGCGAAGTGTTCACCCTTTATATATTTAGACAGTAGGAGAGTGGTGGTGAAGCCACAGAGAAGAGAAAGCCCTGGCAGAACTCGGCCCGAAGGCATGAGAAATGTGTATACATTCAGAGGCCACCCCTTGATATTTTAACCATTGGATTACAGCACTGCGTTCTCTGCTCGCAGGGTCTTGTCGGAGACGTACTTTGAGGAGCGTTTTGCTGAGCTTCCAGAGTTTAACCCAGAGGAGGTCCTGCCTTCGCCCACTCTGCAGAGTCTGGCCACCTCACCAAGAGCCATCCTGGGAAGCTACCGCAGGAAGAGACGCAACTCCACCGGTAAGATGAGAGTGAACGTTACTAACTTTGATCCAAAATAACATCTAAATTAATATACAACAAATACAGTAAAATAAATTACATTTTTAACAGAGAGGCCTTTTTGTTATTTGGAGACCTTTTGTCTCTTCTACATCTTCTAACTGTTTTTTACTTCCATTTCTCCCATTCTTTGCCCTATTCTGATTCCTCTTTCTCCTCTTTTTCTCTTTCTGCTTGATATTCATTCCCCTCTCTTCTTATGTGTCCCCCTTTCTCTTCATATTCCCTTTCTTCATCCTTTGTGTGTGGTGTGTCCAGAGCTGGAGCTGACAGCAGAAGATCCCAGCTCCCCGAGGAGGAAGACTCGTCGTCTCTCCAGCTGCAGCTCGGAGCCCAACACCCCCAAAAGCGCCGCCAAGTGTGAGGGAGACATCTTCACCTTCGACAGAGCAGGTACATCAGGTAACATCAGGTGCAACAGCTGCAGAACTGCTCCTAAATGTGAACTGAAAGAGATATGGCATTCTCCTTTTCAACCAGGCACTGAAGGAGAGGATCTTCTTGGAGACTTGGACCGGGTCCCCTACTCGTCTCTGCGTAGAACTCTGGATCAGCGGCGGGCCCTGGTCATGCAGCTGTTTCAGGAACATGGCTTCTTTCCCTCAGGTAAACCACCCTTAGATAGTACATAATGGGACAGTAAGAACAACTGAAATGGAGATTAAATTGATGACTTTTATTAAATTGTAAGGCAAACTGTACGTTAGCTCAAAAGGTCCATTCCCTCATTACAACTAATAATCATATATTGGAAAACTACTGTATCAACCATTAAAAATGTGGCTGAATTACTAAATGAATACCTTTTATTTAGAGAAGGTTCTTTATACTTAACAAACTTTCTTAAAATTTATACCCCCGGTTAAGTAATTGCAGTAATTTTAAACCTTTGGCTTTAAAATAATCTAACTTAGCAACAACTGAATCATTATTATGTTCTCCTTAAAGAATATCAGACAGGATATTTGCTAATACTTTACCATGCTGTTTACTTTATCATGCTGTTTTTATAACAACTGCTTTATCTCCTTGCTCCCTGTTTTCATTCTTCCCTCCCATTTCCCTCCTGTTTCTCTCATCGTCTCCAGCTCAGGCCACTGCTGCCTTCCAGGCACGCTACTCGGACACCTTCCCCACCAAGGTGTGTCTGCAGCTGAAGATCCGCGAGGTCCGTCAGAAGATCATGCAGACGGCCACGCCTGGAACCCTCGAGCCTGGAGGGTCAGTGGAAGCCAGCCCTGCCCCGACCCACAGTTCCTCTTTTAATCAATCAGCCCGGGAGGACGGAGGGGCGGAGCAGCAAGGAGATAAAGGCCGGGGCCCTGAGGAGCCAAAAAGCGAAGGATCCTAAGCTGGAGAGGATGACATAGTGGAAAAAATCAAGGAAGAAGAAGAGAGAGAGGAGTGTGTCATCCCTGCAAAATGTTCTTGTATGTGTTGAACCTGTACTCTGAATGGCTCCAGTGGGATCCGTTCTACTGGCACTAATTTCCACCAGACCTGGGCAGGAATATATTTGAATATGGTCACAAATATTCAAACTACTCAAGGTGCGCTTGATTTGTCTAATCAGACATTCAAAAAAAAGCCTCAAAAGTGGTCGAATCACATGCAAGTCCTGATGAGTCAAGTGCTTCTTGTAGTGTAGTTTCCCCCTCCCCGAGTATCCAGAATATTTTCAGCTAACACTTTGCCCAGGTCTGCTCTCAGCACATTTGTACAGTAGTTTGTAGTTTGACACACAAACTCTGTGGTACACACTCTCTATCTCTCTGGCACACACACACACACACAAACCATGGTGCATATGTAATCTCCAGCATGCACATGATGCCACATAAACACACACACGCACACACATACACACACCCTTACCAAATCAGACTGTTACTCTTGGTTGGCAGTCCCCAGGAGCCGCCACCAAGGACCATGACACACAAAGGCACTTTGTCACTTATTGTGCAGATGCAGTTTGCTGTTGCCAGCCAGCCAGCCAGCCCTCAGATGCCATTGACTTGACCTCCTTCTCGCCCTTCCACTCCTCAGCACAGTGGTCGGGACACAAACACAACCCCAACGACCTCCACTAATATTCCACAGCCCCTCGATGCTGCAAGACAGACAGCACACACACACACACACACACACACACACACACACATACAATACATGCACACACACAAACACA